CTGTTGCATATGGATGCTGGGGCATGTTAGGGAGGTTGGCTTTGACACGGCGCTATCCCGTTTTCCACTAGTTCGCTTGCCCACTTCGACAGTCAGGCTGGTGCCACTGTACCCTTCTAGCGTACAGCGGCGTGATGTCTGAGATGGTGGTGTTACTAAGACCCTTTCCTAGAAATGGTGGAAATGTCCAATCAGAATTCAATAGAGGGCAACTTATATCGCCTCGAAAGTCGAGGAGGAAAAGTGTCTTTTACTTAGCCCTCCCCCCTGTATATACCCACGCTCTCCCTCGCTGGGAATCTGTAAAACGTGCCATGGTCGTACGGATTACGCTGATTCAAAAGTGCTCTCACAGAAGGCAGGACCACCTACTGTGATGGCGCTTACCAGTTCAACTTTATTCACGTTAAATTACAACTCTACATTTGGAAAGGCTCTTCCATCATAATTTTGGCTTCTTTTCATTGTTATTGTCGTGGGATTCTTCCACGTCCTCATCGAGGTCCTCATCGAGATCTTCATCACCATCATCAATTTCGTCATTCATCATTTTATCATGCTTGTCCGCCTTGTCAAGTTCCTTTTTCACCTCTTCAACGTCCTGAAATCATTCTACCAGAAGTATCTACACTAAGGTGAGGTTTGAAATTTCATTATTCATTTAGCTTAATACCACCTGTACGCTCTCCTCGATAGATACTGGCTCTTGCCATTGTGCAAGAGGTGAATGGGCTCGCGGCTGCCCCGTGCCACTTCCGCCGGCAAAAGTTGAAGGGGAACGCTGCTGGAGGGTAGTGATACTCACATGGCGTCTCGCTGCCGCAAGGCCAGTCACACGCCTAACCATAGCCAAACGCACCGCTTATCTGCGCCCTCTTACTTCTAACTGTTCTCTACCGTTGAGTGAGCTGATTTCACGCTGTGACTCTTGGTACTTCATGCTTGAGGTTGGCCCGAGGCAGAATGTTAATACCAGAACTGCACGACGCACTGCCCGTCCAGCCATTCGCTGGTGCCCTTTTTGCGGAGTGACACATATTGGCAGATGCGACGGCCGTTCGCCCTCACACCACGGCTATGCGACCCTCCGTCAATAGTTGAACTGGTATCTTTCTTTTTAAGTGAGCGGGAAAAGACGAAACCTATAATTTTGGAAACCCGTCGCCCTGCAACATTGCACTCAAAAAAATCATACTCTCCAGAACGTTTTTGTTCTGAATATATCATGAAATGCTAACTGGGGTGCTGACGTAGTTGGAGGAGCCATTCACGCTACGCGGCAGTGATTGACTCATCGGCTCTTCTCTATCGGCCATACAATGAAAAGCGTGGTCTAGCAACCAAATCATAATAAAAACAAACAAGATTCAGCCGGAATTCGCTGACAGAATTCCAGCCAGAAGGCTGAAAACTGGATTTTTTTTGGTGGCCAACAATACAGTCAACGACAAATCCATTACACAAAACTTTGTTAAGTTAGGCTAAGAACATTTGCAGGCCTAAAACTGTTTTCTTTAACAGCTTTAAGCAGTGTTAACTGTTTTCTTTGTGGGTGGTGCATATAATGAAACTCTTTCCAGTCCTTTATTCAGACGACGTTTCGGGCCGTAAGCCCTTCTTCAGGTCTACAAACATAAATTATATTGTCCACACCAACATCATCTAATTACATACATACATAACAGAAATTCCAAAAGAGGGAACAGTCAATTAACAACTAACCGGATTCCTATGGAAAGGAGGGTCTGGGGTAGGAGTGGGTGCGGGAGTTTGCTGCAAGATGGTCTTGGATGTAAGGCAAACAGTGACACGAAACATCGACTCACCTCCCCAGCTGTCCTTCCGTCTAGAAATGGGACAGCTAGTTCGGCGAAGCAGGGATGAGATGGTGATAAGTGATACCCTGTCATTTGTCATATGTCACGTATCATCAGTTATGACATCATACGGGCAGGGGCAATTAGCTCGCATCGTCCTTCTTATGGCTTATTGCTGAATTGCTGCATCCGGTGATATGTCATAACTAGACTTGATACGTGACATATGTCATATAGACAGGGTATCACTTATCACCATCTCATCCCTGCTTCGCCGAACTAGCTGTCCCATTTCTAGACGGAAGGACAGCTGGGGAGGTGAGTCGATGTTTCGTGTCACTGTTTGCCTTACATCCAAGACCATCTTGCAGCAAACTCCCGCACCCACTCCTACCCCAGACCCTCCTTTCCATAGGAATCCGGTTAGTTGTTAATTGACTGTTCCCTCTTTTGAATTTCTGTTATGTATGTATGTAATTAGATGATGTTGGTGTGGACAATATAATTTATGTTTGTAGACCTGAAGAAGGGCTTACGGCCCGAAACGTCGTCTGAATAAAGGACTGGAAAGAGTTTCATTATATGCACTACACAGAAAACATATGAATCAATGAAACTCAGGAACCCTCTGATATTGCAGTGTTTAACTATTTTAACTTGAAATAGCGATAGGTTGCGAAGTTATATCCATACCCTTAAACACGAAATTACTTCTATTATCTCTCCCCGGAGGAGCGCAAGCTGTAGATCGAGTCAATCGTCGCGCGCGAGCCGCAGTGCCGCCTCCAAATACCGTTAAGCGCCTGCGTACTGGCTATACGATAATAATTAATATAATCTACTATTATAATCCGCTAAGTTTGTCTGTTGGTGTGTGTGTGTGTGTGTGTGTGTGTGTGTTTGGCCGGAAATTCATAACGCTCCTTCAAAGGAGCGGCAGAGCTGCTTAGAACTGAATAAGGTGATGGTATGGGGGTGGCACGGAACACTATGTGCTAGGTGGCCAGAGGCTGATAAGAGCTGATAAGATACCGCAGAGGGTCTTAGAAGGGGAGGATCACCAAATTCATAGCGTCGGCCAGAGTAACGACCGGACGTTGGATCCAAGTAGCAAGATAGGGGGCAGGATGGGAACATTATTGGTGGGTGGGCAAACTGATAAGAGCTGATAAGATACCACAGAGGGGTCTTACAAAGGGAAGGATCACTCAAATTCATAGCACCGGCCAGAGCAACGACAGGGACCTTGGATCCAAGTAGTAAGACAGGGGCAGGATGGGAACATTATTGGTGGGTGGCAGGCAGTGATAACAGCTGATAAGATACCATAAGAGGCCTTACAAAGGGAAGCTCATCAACATTATAAATTGCGCCACAGCGACGGTAAGGGTCGTTTCCACGAAGTAAGATAGGGGGCAGGATGGGAACCTTATCGGTGGGTGGCAGGACGTATAACAGCTGATAGGACACAACAGCCCTTAACAACACGAGTCGTAGCAACACTGGGAACTACCCTCCAGCAAGTGATTCAGACGTTTTTAGCGAACATGGTGGGAGACTTTGGTGGCAAGAGACATGTTGTGATACTGCTCCTGACAAGGGCTTAGAGTTAGTATCTGTCCCCCTTCCTACTCTGCTTGCGATTGAGCTTCACCACTGTGGTCCAGAAATCGATGAGCAAAGGCTTGGTGAGCCAGGCACTTTCTATCCTTGAGCTATATAGACCAAATTGATTCAACCGCTAAACTCTAAAGATTCTTCCAAAAGTAAAAGCTTAAAGATGTTGTCAGTGAGGAGTGATAAGGGCCACCAGCAGACGGAATGAAAGCTGCTCAAAGGAAACCACTAGGAAATAAGTAGCTTCCACCAAGACTTGGATAATATTACCACCGAACTTCTTTCAACTGCTAAGTTGCCCTATTTCCATCAAATGGTGGGTGTTTTTTTGAAACGTGATAAGCATCAGACATTGGCAAATGTTCATTAAAAAGGTGAAATACGGTGCAGTAGGCCGTACTTCGAGAGATGGAATCAAGCCAAGTGTTAGTGGTCAGCACAGAAATCCTATCAGCAATCAGCACCCCGGCCGGACGCGCAGTAGTGTGCGTCAGCCAAACTGGTAATAATATAATTGTAATACTACCTATAAAACTGAGTGAGAACAGATGTGGGACAAACCTTGATTCGTTCGTCCTCTTCCAGGTCTCCGTCATCTGGTCTGATTTTCAGTGTTCCACATGATGCAAAGTAAAGTCCCAACATCATAATTAAGGCGCAACACTGTATAATCGAAGGCATTATTACGCACTTACAGATACAGTAAAAAAAGTTTGTTTCATGTCAGGATACAGGCGGCGATGACAAGGGGGGGGGGGTGGGAGAACGATTCTAATTGCTGACTATTTAAAGAAGTGGCTGAGGAAAGAACATTGTTTTGAACAGTTTCTTGTTTTCCAGACCGCAATCTGAAGACAGAGTCCACGATGATCGTGTGGGCGGAGTCTAGCCTAATGCCGGACTTTCTCATTGGAGCGCTTTTCCTTTGGGGTTTTGGCGCGGTTAAGAGGCGTAGAAAGGTAAAGGGTTGGACTTCATTCCACCCAAACGATCGGCAGAGGCTTTGCCTTGAATCATCGATGACAGTCTGACTGGGTAAGGCGGCTCTATACCCGAAAATCTTTCACCAATTTCGCCTTAGAAAACCAGAACTTTCAAAACTGAGCTCCAAATTCCAATCATTGGGAATGGAATTAAGTGAAATATTTGCCAGATCGATGAACAGCTGCAGATTCCATCAATATTGCATATTTCTGCAGATTTTCACTCAAACTATCATTTTTACTGTCTAGTTTCATAGAAAAATTACCTGCATACGGAAATCACTGAAAGTCCCAAGGCCAAAGTCCAGCGTTGTCACGCCGAGTCATTAAAGTACTGCAGAGATCTGTAACAGAATGACTCGCGGCGTCGTATAATAGCGTAAAATCGTATGAATAGTGCCTCTTACTCCATAACTCGGCGTTTCCTTGTAGGACTCATATTTCAGCGTTTCGAAAAACACTTGCAATACAAGTGCATTCTTCTCATACCAATCACGACACTTGCCTTGATCCTGGAAAAAATCTTTTGTTATGGTATGAATTCCCTTTATACCAATCTAAATACTTTACTTTGTCAAGTAAATATTTTTTTGATGAGAGTGAGGTCAGAATGGCTCAGAGTTTTGAGTTCGTACCCTTGCAGGCTGAATTTCTCTGCAGAGAGAGAATACGGGTCAAGAGGTCCATGTTGCGGCGACATGGAGAAGTGATATCGAAAGTGCATCGCGTGCGCGAACATTCGCACAGGCGCCCAATTGATTTCACATGAACCGTGCTATGG